TAGAAATGAGGAGTTGTTGATCTGTGAGTCCAGCTCATATGAGTTTTCCATCTGCACACAAAGAGCAGCAACAACAATATTTAGATATTCAGAGAACAATACCAATATTCAGATACAGGGAGCAGCAATATTCAGATACAGGGAGCAGCATCAATATTTAGAGAGCTGGCGCTCGCGCACACGCTACTGCTCGCAGCCGCTGCTCGCAGCCGGCGCCCCAGTCGCTCGCGCCTCACAGCCGCTCGCGCTCGTGCCCCACCCGCTCGCGCCTCACAGCCGCTGCTCGTAGCCGGCGCCCCAGCCGCTCGTGCACACGCTCGCCCCCGCAGCTCGCGCATCCCCCTCACACCAGCCGCTCGCAGCCGGCGCACCCGCCGCTCGCGCACATGCTCGCCGCTGGCGCCGCGCTCGCAACCGGAGCCCCATCCCCCTGCCCCTTCTCTCGCATCTCCCTGCCCCATCCGCAAGGGCGACAGTGGCCGGCGGCGGTGGCCGGATTTGGCCATCGGCCCCATCTCCCTGCCCTGTCTCTTCAATCACTCTCCCTCTCTCCGAATCGGAAAAACCAGAGCGTACCTCAGCGACGGCGAGCTCCTCGGGGCAGTGGCGTGGCCGTCTTCTTGTCTCCAACTTCTCCAGATCGGCGCGGGAGCGAGCTCGCGAAGGGGCAGCTCTGTTTGGACGTCCTCGCTCCGTCGTCTAAATATGGACAATGCGTAGCGATTCGGGTGGATGTCTGAAATTTAGACTAGCGCATACACAAGCCGCTGGACACATTTTTTGGCCTCTGATGGTCTATATTTGACATAGACTATGGGATACACAAGCCACTAGAGATGCTCTTAGGTGCTGCATCTGTTGAAGTTCTCCTTGAGATCTAAAGCCCATGCAAGGACGTCATAGAGTCGACGTCATGACGACTTTATTATTGAGTGGTTTCCGTATCCATCAGGAGCAAGTGTTGTCGGATAAGATCGATATTCCACCTCCCATGCTCGTCCAAGAGCTCTGCTAGTCACCGAAGCCGGCGGGTGCCGCGCGGTGACACTGGTACGTAGAAGGTAGGTCGGGGTCATCATGGATCTTTCCAGAACGTAACTTGTTTGTCATTGTTGATGCACCATACAAAGTGGCGGATCCACATTTGGTCATGAGTGTGCGGTCGTTACCTATAGCACGAATTACACATCAGTCTACTGTCTACACCTACAGATGTCATCAGCACCAGGTAATTAGCAATTAGCATTCTTCTTGCCCATTGTCTTCAGAGCATGGTTAATAATACAACCAACTGCTGGCTATAAGATGTTGTCATATCATCTATAGCCAACTCATATAGTCACTCGTACAATAAGATTAGATATAAGGTTGGTTATAAGATTACTACTTTTTCTCATCTCCTCTCTATCTCTTTCTTCATATTTATTGCATCTGCATTGGATCACACATATAGCTAGACTCTTGCATGAGAGCCCACTCCTCTCACTTTTTCATGTCTTTCTCCTCCATGTAGGCAAAATTGACATGTAAGTGGGCTATAAGCCTGCTATTGTACTTGCTCTCAGATGCATTGTATATATATTAATGGCTGTGTGATCCCCAACTATATGATTATGTAGTAAATAATCTTTGTTTCTTTTGTCATTTCTACAAGGTATTATCATTTTATTGGCCAAAAAAAGGTATTATCATGTTGATGAAAAAAAGTTCTTGCTACATGAACATTTTAGATATTAGATCTCTTTTTTGGGAAACCCGCAATTTTTTTTGAACACCTAAGTATGATATCCTGGATCCGCCATTGGCCATACAATACCCTTTTTAGAAGGGTCTGGGCCATGATGAATAGTGTACCATGTCGATGAGGCGGTCCTTGCAAAATTAGTGTCTTCAAGAACACCGTTAGGATAGTAGGAGTACTTCACTTGGAGGACCATGCATACAACGAGTCCGACCAAGTGAGAAGCTGCCAATCTTGCCTTGCGAGCAAGGCTTGGTGAAACAGAAGGAAGTCGCAGAACCCTAGTCCTCCCTTGCTGTTGAGCTCAATTATCTTTTCTCAAGACACCCAGTGGGACTTCCTTTTATATTTCTTTGAACCCTACCAAAATTACGAACTAGCTATGACAGATCACACACAAAGAGGGGCAACTTGAATACACCCATAATGTAGGTCGGTATCGCCTGCGCGACTAACCCGGTTCCAACAAAAGACAAGAACGTTCTTTCATGAACTCCAATGAAAAAATGTAGTTGCATTTGTAATGCATACACTGGAGCGTTTGCCCCCTGACGAAGGCCAACGAGATTATTTTCATGTAATCTGAGGAGCAACACTATCCTTTCTTTGCTGCTGGTTTGTCTAGTTTACGATGAAAGGCAGATGTATGAACATACAAGATGGAACACCGAACACAAACTAGATTTATCAAAACTTTTGAAATCAACGATTTTCTTTTTAGAACTATCAACGAATTTGGTTACTTAAAAGAAAAACAGATGATAACTGCGGGCCTTGGCTGTTCGCAGCCCAGCCGCTACTAAGATGGGCTAACATGGGCAATAGAGGCCCACAGCTATCACCTTCCCCTCTCTCTCTTCTCCGACTCGGTGCTCAACTGTTGCCTGCTGCAGCCCTCAAAAAAAGAAAAAAAAAACTGTTGCCTGCTGCTGATGCTGCTTGGGCTGTGCTCCGCCCTGCGCTCGCGTGCCCTCCTCCTCCCTCTGACCCCGCCGGCTCGTACGGGCACGGCCACCCTTCGCCGCCGGACTTGGCCACGGGCCACCTCCTCCTTGTCATCTCCGCCGTCGCCGGAGATGGAGGCGTCGGCGTACAAGTTCGGGCCCTACAGGATCGACGCGAGGGAGGTCTTCCACGCCACGCCCCTCTCCTACGCCATGGTCAACCTACGCCCCCTCCTCCCTGGTAAAAATCTCTATGATTGCCCCAACTTTCCCTTGCCTAATTTCTGTTCAATTTTCACTTTCACAGGAATTGCTTGTCAGCTTGTGGTTGTATTTTTTGTTTGTTTGACGGAGATGTCAATGTGGTTGCTGGTGGATAATAAATCGCACTTTAGGGTTCCAGCGCTAGCACAATTTGTTTCCTTATAATTTTGTAATACTTGGTGTGGTGAATAATCGCAAGTCTGACTCACAATTATCCATGATGTCGGAGTAGCACGTGCACATTTAAACCCTGAAGATGTTGTATTAACATTGTATGTATTTGTAGTATAGCAGCTATTTATGATCACAACTTTATAGATCGCGGTATACTGTTTATGCTATATTAACATGCCCCAATCTTACACTGCAGGTCATATCCTTTGTTTTGGCATACTCATTGCCGAGATTTACAGTTAAACACTGCCGGCAAGCCTGGAATCTCGTTTTTTTGTCAGACTGTTCATAAACTTTGTTTCACTTGCTTGTTTCTGAAGTGTCCAAGGTGCAGATATATACAGTAGGAAACACAGTTTAGAATCAAAGGAATGAAATTTGTATGGTATAATAATCTTTCATTTTGCACAGATCTCTAAAAAAGTAAAAATGCATGGCTAATGTAAATCTGAATATCAAGATGTCAAGAGAATTATGCTAGGGTTAGCTATTTATATAAGTGAATGGTTCATATAAAAGTAGCCAAATAGTTATCTCTTGCTGGAATCTGTTTGTACCTGATGGACTCGTGAGTGATGACGTCATCATCTTTTTTTTTTTTGAAACCGTACACCCGCAGGCATACGTTACTTGTATTTATACGAGTCGGAAAACAGTACATACAACGTAGATACCAAACGTACACACACGAAAATACAGGAAGGATACAATCCGTAGAGCTGGCCTCGCCATACATCGCAGAAGACCCCAAACAAAGAAAATTTGCAACCCCATCCTTGGTCTTCTCCGCCGATGCCGCTCCGTCGCGTCGAAGCCAACCACCACCGCTGGAGGCCGGAAATAACACGAAGGAGCGGCTCACATAGAGCTGAAGGAACCCCTTGCACATTGGCGTTGGTGAGCCGCAGTAGACACCAGATGCAAAGAACTGGATTTGATCCTAATTTTTCCATCGGCCGGAGGCAACGGCCATGTCGGCCGTGCTCCCCAAGCTCCTTCACCTCCAGGCCTGGGGACGACGCCACTCTGCCTCCCTGAAGACAGCCAGGCCCTTCCACCGCGAGCCAGATCCGATGCCAGCCGTGGACTCCATCCATCCCAAGCAGGGCACCGTCAGCACTGCTCCCAACCGTACCTCCGGTCGAGCCCTGCAGCAAAACACACATAGTCCTCACACGCTCCTCGGCGCCGCACAGAAGCACACCACCGGAGCAGGGTTGGAGCGGGAGGAACCAAACACCCACAAGCTTCTCGCTGGAAGTAGGACTCCCAACGAAACGCGGTCGAAGCCGGGGCACCTTTATTCCGACGCGGCGCCGTCGCCGGCGTCTCAACAACGCCTCCTGGAACCTATCTACAGGCCCGTGCTTCCCCGAGGCTCCCCCCCACCTGCCGAGGCCAAGCCGGCCATCGGAGACGAGGAGGAGCGGCGAGGTCGCCGGCGGAAAGACAGGAGATCTCGACCTGCTTCTGTTCGCCTCTCGCGTTCTGTGGAGAGTTCGAGAGGTGTCAAAGGATAGCTGACATGAGTTTTTGATGGGTTTAACGTCATCATCTTTTTATGATATATGATCTTTGCTATTATTATGTCCATCACTTTGTGCACCGACAAGTTCCCAAAATGCTTAACCTCTCGAAGAAAGGCAGGAAATGTACTCATACTGCAACATTTACCGTGCTACATATACTGATGGAGTGATGGTATAATACTTTAACTCGAGGTAGCTTTGCTGTCCCTTGGTTCGCAGCTTTCATAGTTCACTGTAAAACGTTTACTTACATTGTAAAGTTTGGTTATACATTTTTTCCTTAACAAAACATACATGTCCTTGTGTGCCCCAAGCGTGAAGTGAAACGCTTTACTGATCTAAGCACTGATGAGACAAGTGATTTATAGGTCACTGCAAAGGAAGTTGGTGTACGGCTTGAGCAGTACCACAAAGCTTCTTCACTTACATTTGCGATTCAGGTCAACTCTCTGTCTCTCTATATATGTACTGAATAGCTTATGCTTCGAAATTTTTATATAATTAGTTCATCCAATTGAAAGCGCATGATTTTTGGATTCTGCTACTGGGGTCCAGAACAAAATAGATCAGGCTAATCACCTAAATTACGCTTACACTGCCATATGAGGTTCCTGTCTGTTCTTTGGACTTTTACTCCAGATCTGCTGCTGATCCGGTTACCTTGTTCACCTTTTACCTTTTAATAACCAATGAATGACAAAGAAGCATTTCCTTATTGATATCTTTTTGGTACAGGATGGCCCTCAAGCTGGCCAAACAGTTCCGCACGTCCACATCCATGTCATCCCCAGGAAGAAGGGAGATTTTGAAAATAATGATGAAATATATGACGCGGTTCGTTGCCCACCTGTTTTGCCATCCATATAATTTCTTATGATTTTTTTCACTAAATCCTACCATTTTCCTTGTAACAGATTGATGTGAAAGAAAAAGAATTGAAGGAAAAGCTCGATCTGGATGTTGAAAGAAAAGATAGAACCATGGAAGAAATGAGTCATGAGGCTAACGAGTACCGTGCTCTTTTCTCCTAGATGTATTTCTTACAAACAGTTTTCTATTTTTCACTTAGTGTTTTCACTGAAATAAACTTTTGGACTGTTTGTTCTGCATAGTTTTTCGAGAGTGTAGCAATGAATATTTTATTTTCCACTGACCTGGTGATGTCGAGTCTCAGCTGATGAGTCTGAGGTGGTGGGTTACTTATGTAGTATGTGATGACAGTTGTTCCTCGCTAGTTGTGGCTTTATGGATATTAATGTTTTAGGTTTATTGATCCCAAACATGCATGAAAAAACACAGGCGTCCGAGCCTTACAATCCCTGCATTGTTTCTTAGTTTGCAAGATTCAATACATGAGAAAGGTATTGTGGGCAAAGTATTTACTTATGAGATGCACAAGGCAGTGGCTAGATTATAGCAAAAATGATATATGGTGTTTAGACATTCCATTGCAGGGGATGTAATAGCTTCCTAGGTATGGATGATTAGCTGTTTTACTTATCAACCAAAAGCATTATTTGTTTTATGTTTGTGATTATGCCATGAATGATGAAATCTGCTATTATCAGTAGTAACCAAACTATAGGCAACAGCTCTAGCATGGACCTAACATGATCTTTTAATACGTGGAACACACTGAACTAGGCCTCTTGCAGATTGTTCTAAGGATATACTAAGAGTCTCTTGCAGATTGTTCTAAGGATATACTAAGAGTCTCTTGCAGATTGTTCTAAGGATATATTAAGAGTTGCAATTGTAAACTGGCATCACGAATTAATATCAACCAACTGGACGCATCATTTAGTTTCAGTTTACACCTTGGTTCGACATTACCTGTACCATTTAAGTTGACAAAAGTCAAATTTTCTCGATATTACTTTGTAAGTGCATTAAGGGTTATATTATACCGCACAGAGGTGATAGTTTATTTGGGTGGGAGTATTCTGCTCATTTTAAAGCCTAAGATGTTACAGCTGATACATTGCACAACATTAGCAAAACTGAATTTGTAATACTCAGTTCAACATATTCCTAATGGGGACGGGAAGAGTATGCGGTTACGTGGTTATGGGCTAAAGTTATATTCCCTGAGCGGCTAAGCATTTAGCTTGTGCTTTGCCGAAAGTGGACTCTTCACTGTTATAAAATGTTTATTAGCAAAACAATTCAGTCGTAAATCCACTCAACCTGTCGTAAGTTGAGCCTGCCTTGTGCATACAAGAAAGCCGACTGTTTAAAGCTTTGTTTTTTGCGGGGGACTTTTTTTTTGGACAAACGATACTTTATTTATTCGTATGTGAGAACCAACGTATCAGATACTATAAACGAGACCACCTCAACCGGAGGTGACTCCATCCAGGTGCCGGGGGTGTAAAATCTAGCTAACTTGGCTATTTCATGAGCAACTTGATTGCTCTCCCTGTTACAATGAGCGAACAAAACATGATTAAAGCTTTGTTTTTAGTGGGGGACTTTGTTTTTCCTTCTCGTAAAGCATCATAGCATCAAATTTCCTTGCGATGGACAAACTGGAAAAAATGTTTCTTAGTCCTGAAGGACAGCGGATCCTTTCATGATATTTGATTGATTGAATTTCAGCACTTCGGGTTTCTTTACGCGTCGCGGAAGAAAGCTCAGGTAACGGCTGAATTCGCTTGCGGAGCCTGGGCAACTTTGGTCCCTTTCATCCTGTGCATATTCTGGCTGTGGACTTTGGTCATTTTCATCTTTTACGCTGTGTGCCTGCCTGGTATGTACGCCAAAGAGGACCTTTGTTCTTGTGGCCGCGGAAAGAAGGCTTTTGTCTCACCGGATGCCCCTGGCTGGATGCCACATGACATGATAGGATGTGCTGATGGAACGGAATATTTCTGTCTTGTGCGTGCTCTGGATTGCAATTCGCCACATCTGCTGGTGCCTTTGCCAAGCGGTGAGTGTTCAGCGTTGGATTCGTTGCCTCTGTACTAGGTAACCTGCACCAGGTAATTTCCTCCCCGTCGTGGTCGTGTGTCCTGGAGGGCTTGGCAATGGCATGCCAACAACTAGGCCCGTCGCTTTGGCGCAGTTGCTTGGCCATTCATTGTTCGCCTGCTGGGTTGCCCAACATGTTGGGAACGTGGCGTAGGTCTCCTCCTTCGGCAGATGCACGGCAAAGGCAACCATTTTGGCTTAGTTTTAGTGCTTTGGGTATCCACTAATCCCACTGAATTTCTCAACTCCACTGCAAATGGAATTGGCTTCCTGAGGTCACAGTGTGCGTGTCAGTATATTTATTTTTTATGTAATTGAAGATTTTCTATACGCACTCGACCAGATTTTATCAAAGCGATTATCAAGATATTTGATGCTCAAGTCAGCTTACAAAATGACAGCAAACGCCACTTTGAGGCATGACGGTACTGCTACTCTTTTACAACCCGTACAAATGACCAAAAACCACACACTAATAAAACAGACAAAGAACAGCTCTTCGACATCGCAATGTCTTCAGGAAGGGGGCGGCGTTCATGCGCCTCTCCGATTCATCCAACCAAAGGACGAAAAACTCTTGACTGACGTGGGCGCACCGTCTAGTACAGTAGCTATTGATTATTACTGTGCAGAGCACGCCATTGGTGCGTAGGGCTTCCGGCAGATCCGGTCCATGACAACGACAATAGCCATGACCGTGGCGGCGTCCACGCCCGGCCGAACGACCAGGCTGAACACGTCGTCGCCGAGAGCGACGGGCCTGGACGACGACGCCGCCGCCGCCGTAGGTCCACCGGCTTTCTTCCTCAGTATCCGTGCCGCCTCCTGGCCGTCGCTCCTGGTGATCTTGCAGCTCCTCCTGGAGAAGCAGCCCTCCACGCGGTAGCCGGAAGGAGGGGACGGCGGAGCCCGGCAGCCGCGCCCTGACGTCGTCGCCGCCGAGGTCGTTGACATGTGGACCTCTGCGTCGTCCGTGCTCTGCAGAGCGGCGCACTTCCGCATGGAGAAGAGCTGCTGCGCGGAGGAGCTCTTGTCCGTCTCCGGGCAACCTTCTTCTCCCGGTGCAACTCTGTAGCAGTTCCATCGGTCGTGCAGGCTGAAGATCTGTCACGAGCAGAGAGAGTAAGAAGAGTTAGTAACGACCGGACGCAGAGTTTGATGGCGTGTTTACGTGGGAAGAAGCTGCTGTGATCATGCATGCATGCACGGTAGAGTACCTGCGGCCTGAGGGAGAGGAGAGGGGCGCCGCGGCCGTCCATGAGCAGCAGCTCGCCGGCGAAGGCCTTGGGGCGGCGGGCGTAGTTGTCGACGCGGAAGGCGAGCCTCCCGGCGGCGTCGTAGACGGAGAAGCCGTCGGTGCCCTGGAACCCCATGCTGGACCTCTTCCACACCGTGTACACAGCTGGCTGCTGCCGCTCCCGCTCCGCCGCCGCGGCCGTCCGCGCCGCGCGGCGGGCGCCGTCGCCGCGATCGGAAGGGTGGATCCTGCTCATGCTGGCTGGTCCGCTGGTGCTGCCAGAGAGCAGCAGGCACATACGGGCGGGCGGGCAGGCTGCTGGAGGTGCGCGATGGATGGACAAATGGGAATGAGATGGGCGGGAACCAGCGTGGTGCTTGGCTCTTGATTTGTGGAGCGAGAAGCGAGCGTGCGCGCGCGCGAGTCGATTGCGATTGGTGTACCGTGTACGTGTGCGCGCGCGTGTGGAATGTATCGAGCGAGGAGTAGGGGTGCGGGTGTCGTGAGGGGGCGGGCGCTCGATCGAGAATGGCTGCGGATTTTTTTTTTTTGAGTCCAAACACACTCTCATTTATTGATCAATATCCAAATACATAGGAATACAAGATAAATCCGGGGGATTAAGTAGCCAGAGATGGCGTCCCGGAGAGAGTCCCAAAGTGTGTTTGGCGAGGCTGTGCGCCTCAACATTTGTCTCGCGCCCTTCAAAGATGAAGAAGCATGCTGAAAACTGTGAACCTCGGGAGATGATCTCTTTAACAATGCTCGCGTAACGGCCGCCCGTGCCCTTGTGTATGTCCGCGACAACCTCCTTGCAATCTGAGGCTACCAACACATGAGATAGTGAGAGGTCGAGGGCAAGGGAGAGAGCTTCTCTGCACGCCAAGGCTTCGAGTGTCGCCGGATCATTAATACCTGTGTATCTTACTGCTGATGCACCAAGATACTTTCCCATGTCATCCCTGCAAACACGACACTTATAGACCCATCATGTGATGTACGCGAAGTAGCCCCATCAACATGAATTTTGCAGCAGCCTGCAACCGGCGGGATCCCTCGTCGCCTCAAGTGCGTGCTGGCCGTAGAAGAACCGGTCGGTTTCTTTTTTACTCTGGACTCATTAAGCTCACGTAAATACGTGTTGATGAAATGGTTGGTAGCATGTGGGGACTGAAAATTCTGTTCGTGAATGGCCTTGCGGCGCGCGTGCCAAATCGCCCATAGGGTAACTAGCACTCTAGTGAAATCTCCATGAGGTAAGCTATCCAACAAGGCAAAAACCTACCTCTTCGTATCAGGCTCAGTATTGTTTTCCATGACTTCAACAAGTTCAGGGTCTTCCAAAGCCCACACGCATCGCGCCATGTTGCAATGGATTAGAGAATGTTGCCATGAATCATCTGCTCCGCATAGCTCACAAGATTTTGTTACCGACATATTGCGATGGTGCCTCAAGTCGGCCGTTGGAAGAGACTGTTGCGCCAGTCTCCACAAGAAATTTTTTATCTTTGAGGGAACCTCAACTTTCCACAGTTTAGTCCACGCCTTCTTCTCCCCTTGACTATTTGATGAGTCTGGCTGGCCTTCTAGCCACGCTTCTCGCCGCAGTTTTGTATCTACCAACATACGGTAAGCACTACGGACAGAGAACAAGCCATTCCGTTCGTGAGTCCAGGACCAAAAGTCACGGATCTGCATCGTGCACAGAGGGATAGACCGGATGGCTGCAACATCAGTGGGTAAGAAGACCTCCGACAGTTTCTGAAGATCCCATTCTGCATCTGGCGTTATAAGCTCGGAAACTAGTTGTGGGGGATTCGTAGCTAAACTTACAATAGGCCTCATGTTGTGTTCTCTGGGTAGCCAATTGTGTCGCCATATATATGTGGATGCGCCATCTCCCACTCTTCTGATCATCCCTTGTGTCATCGTGTCACGTCCCTCAAGAATGGCACGCCAAATTTGGGACGGAGCACTCCCAAGCTCAGCTTCAAGGAAGTCACTAGAGGGAAAATATTTGGATTTCAAAATTCTGGCGCTTAAAGAGTGGGGGTCCATGAGAATCCTCCAAGCCTGACGAGCTAGAAGGGCAAGATTGAAAAGCTCAATATCACGAAAACCCAGTCCGCCGCTGTATTTAGGTCTTGTCATGACACTCCAAGACACCCAACTGGGTTTCCTTTCCCCTTCTTTACTTCCCCACCAGAACTTGCGTATAAGAGAGTTAATATGCTCACATAGTCCACGAGGTAACTTGAAGCATGACATGGAGTAGACCGGCACTGCTTGGGCAATGGACTTAATGAGAACATCCTTCCCTCCAACTGAGAGAATTTTTGCCATCCAGCCTTTAACCTTATTCCAGACTCTGTCCTTGAGGAATTTAAAAGTGCCATTTTTACTATTACCCACGTCAGATGGCATTCCCAGATACCGTTCAGATAAAGATTCATTGGGTACATTCAAAGCATCCTTAACATCTTCCTTGAGTGCGTTAGGGCAACCCTTACTGAAAAAGACAGAGGATTTGTTTAAGTTTACCTTCTGACCTGAGGCATTGCAATAGCAATTCAATAGGTTTGACAACTCATTAGCTCCATCTGTATTGGCCTTGACAAACAACAGGCTATCATCTGCAAAGAGTAAGTGGTTTACCGGCGGTGACGACGAGGCCACTTTGATTCCACTGAGGTGCGATGATTCATTTTTGTTTTTTAGGAGGCACGAAAGGCCCTCCGCTGCTAGCAAGAACAAGTATGGAGAAATGGGGTCTCCCTGTCGAATCCCTCTGGTTGGCTTGAACTCTTCAAGTTTGCCACCATTAAACATAACTGAAAATTTTACCGAAGTAACCATCCCCATGACAAGAGATACCCAAGCTGGTGCAAATCCCAACTTTATCATGATGGCTCGTAGATAATCCCACTCCACACGGTCATAAGCTTTCATCATGTCCAACTTGACCGCACAAAATCTGTTTTTCTTTGCCTTGTTCCTCTTCATGAAATGGAGGCACTCATAGGCAGTTATTATGTTATCCGTGATCAGTCTGCCAGGCACAAAGGCAGATTGCTCCTCAGAGATGATATCAGGTAGAATCTGTTTCAGACGGTTGGAAAGCACCTTCGACGCGATTTTATATAGCACATTGCACAGACTGATAGGACGGAATTGAGAGAGCTGGGTGGGATCTTTTACCTTGGGAATCAGGACTAAAATAGTTTCATTAATTACCTCCGGGCTTTCCTCTCCTCTCAAAATGCGCAAAATAATATTTGTTACCTCCACACCGCAAATATCCCAGTGTCGTTGAAAGAAGTGTGCAGGGAAGCCATCTGGGCCGGGTGCTTTTGTTGGGAACATTTGGAAAAGCGCTGTTTTGATCTCTTCCGGAGTGTATGGTGCAGTTAACATGTCATTCATCTCTTGCGTCACCTTCGCCGGAACCACATCCAGTACTTCATTCATGCCCGATGTTCCTTCCGCAGAGAACAGATTTGAGTAGAACGTATTGATCATATTAATCATCTCCTGCGGATCCTGTGTTAAAGAGCCATCCGCTCGGGCTAAAGTCTTGATAGTATTTTTCTTCGTACGCATATTGGCCCGGCGTTGGAAGAACTTAGTGTTCTTGTCCCCGTCTCTAAGCCAGTCCACCCTGGATCGCTGCCTGTGTAAGATCTCCTCCATATGGTATAGTTCCACCAAGCGATCCACTATTTTTGTCTCTGCATGTGAGGGCCCAGAGCGACCGGGTTCATTCTGTAAGACTCCCAACTCCCGTTTCAGTTTTTTGATCTCTCGGCAGACGTTGCCTATCTTTGCACCACTCCATTGTGTAAGCTTGCCTGAGAGTTCGAACAACTTTTTACTCAGTGCTTGAACAGTTTGTGCGCCAGAGAGGCTGGACCATTGCAAAATCAGAGCATCACGGAACTCGTCGTGTTTCTCCCAGTGCAGTTCGTACCTGAACATTTTCCTCGACGGGCCCCTGTCATCATTTGGTTCAAGCTGTAGGCGGATTGGGCAGTGATCCGAAGAGGCGCTCGTTTCATGCACTAGAGTCGCCGAGGGGAAGAGTAGCTGCCAGTCATTGTTAGCAAGGGCACGGTCCAGCCGTACACGGCAGAAGCCACCCCCTGCCGTCTTCTTCTCAAAAGTCCAAGGTTTGCCGACGTAGCCAAGATCAATAAGTCCGGCGACATCTGTTGCGTCTTGGAATCCCGCCATTTGTGCGCTTCTCCTCTGGCTAGCGCCCACGTGCTCGCTAGGATGAAGGACTTCATTATAATCCCCGATACAAAGCCATGGAAGGGTTCTGGCCGTAACGAGGGACTTAAGGAGATCCCAAGTCCTATACCGCTCGCTAACATTAGCTTCACCGTATATACATGTAAGGCGCCAGTCTTCTCTATTTGGAATCGACACAGTGGCGTCTATATGGTACTGAGAATAACCAAAAACACTGATATTTATTCCATCATTCCAGAAAACTCCTAGGCCGCCGCTGCGACCCGAACTACCAACTGCATAACAGTGATCGTAACCTAAAGTGCTCGCCATACTCTCGACACGTACTTTGGATATTTGTGTTTCAACAATACATAGTACGGCCGGGGCAAATTGCCTCGCTATATCGCGAAGCTCGCGAACTGTCGCGGGTTTGCCCGCCCCGCGACAGTTCCAGCAGATAATATTCATTGAGCGCGGCGGCGCTCCTCCAAGGAGCCCACCTGTTCGCTCATTTTGTTCGTCGATTTGTTGGGTGACGACCCCTTCTTTGGCTTCTTCCTATCACGTGGGTTTTGGTATCCTGGGGGAGGGGGTGGAACCAGTATTATCTCCTTCGGCTGAACATGTACAGCAGGATTCTGGGCGTGACGTTCTGCAGTATTCTCGACTGAAACCCCAAGAGCATCATCAGAAAGGTCAAGCTTCTTCTTAGCAGTAGGTTCGGTCTGATCGGCATCCTTCTCCACGACGTCTGTCTTGAGTGGGCTTTCCGCTGTGTCATTCAGGTCCACGTCCTCTTGCAAGCCCGCTTCCTGTGATGATCGCTTCTTGGCTCCATCGCCGTTACCCCGGCCTCCATCAGCGTTGCCGTGTCCACCGCGGCCTCTGCCTCGGCGTCCAGGTGCACCCCTGTTGTCACTAGTATAGCTGAAGTTGCCTCGGCCAGTCTGATTAAACTGGGTCGAGGGGAGACTCCTTCTCTTGGCTAACATCCATTCACCATATTCAATCTCATCAGGATTGTGGATACCATTACCACACTCTTCAAGGATGTGGCCCATAACACCGCAGACTTCACAAAAGAAAGCAATCTTTTCATATTTCACTGGTAACAATAGCCTCTCTTCACCCTTGATATTCAGTGGTGTAAACCTAACCAATGGCTGTGCTACATTGATCTTTGCTCGTACCCTGACATAGTTCCCCTCAAAAACTCTGGTAGGGTTCATCTCCACACTCTTTACTTGACCGATTCTCCGTGCTAATTGATCCATGATCGGTTCTTTGCGATACAGTTCTGGTGTGTCATGAATCTGCGCCCAGACATACACGCGATCAAGAACGACCGCCTCAGGCTTCCCCTTACCATCGTACTCTTCTATGATCACCATGAGTCCCCTGAAGATCCATAGCCCTTGATGCATCACCCTATTCCAGTCTCCCACGCAGAACAATTGGATTACAAACAAATTGTCACCTGCCTCGCGGATCTCTGGGTCATAGGCGAGACGCCATATGTATTTCATTGTGTTCTTGAAAGCATCCACGCTGAAGGGCTTCTTGGTGTTTACCTTGGCGACCGCTAACCAGCGCGCCTCCTTGGCAAATTGCGAGATTTCCTCCTCGCCCACGATCACGTCATCAAGCTCAGATTCCTTCAGCTTCATGTTTTTCATGGCCGTCTCCAGATCAACCGCCGCCTTGCTCCTTCTGCTACCAGTGGACCTGCCGCCCGGAGTACCAGTTGAGGAGGAGGCCGCCATCGGATCTCAGGAAAAACCCTACCGCCCACACTGCGAAACCGAGGCCGGGTGGAAGGACTAGCCGACCCCGAAATCAGCCCAAGTACACAAGTGGGGGGAGGGAAGACAGATCTGACGCTCGACGGGATGAAAACCTCGACGGCGACCGAAATCGCCGGAGTAAGAAAACCCTAGATGGGTACCTCACCCTAGATGGGTACCTCTCGCTGCGGATGGATGGGTATGGAATAATGGAATGGAGACCTGGCTTGCATGCATGCTGGACAACGAGTGCGCGTCCCAGTATTTAAGGCCGGTGTTGCAAGCCCGCAACAGTCACCAGCCCGTTAAAGCCCAAAAGTGCCGTCTCCGGCTCTCTGTCCGGTCGCTGCTACTCGCTCCGTCCAGTGGAGACAAAGTATAAAGCCATTTTTGTTTTTTCCCTCAAAAAAAGTATAAAGCCATTTTGCTGGTAAAAAAAAGTATCAAGCCATTTTTCAGCAGAAAGCCATTTTATACCGCTCAAAAAGAAGAAGCAAAGCAGATAGCCATTTTTCTCAGTCTAGTGAAGTGCCACGTGTCTACTTCTACTAAAACTAGCTTTTTGTGCGTCAGGGTTTGGGGTCGATGATGGGCCCAGTCGTAAGGGAGTGAATCATTGTATGAGCGTTATGTTTGAGTTTACTTTTGGGTGAACGTGACATATCCATATTTTATTTTTTATATGTTATGTGTACAGTTATATGCACATAACAGTTTAGTATACCCCGCACACCAAATACGGCATCCATCGGATATGAGCCAAGCCATGAAAACAACAACAGCAGAAGTGTAACTAAAAGCCAGTCCAACTCTTTTTTTTTTTCGGGAGAAATAGCATTGCATTACTCTCAATCACAACGTCTTTACAATCATATGATGCTATTTCCACTACTTCATCTGGACCAGCTCCTAACCAAGTCAAGGTCCTACCTTGGGTTCTAGCAAACTTAGCTAAGCAATCACTAGCTTTATTTTGAGATCTAACTATATAAAAAATACAAGTCTTCCTTAAACCCATTAAGTGCTTAATCTCTCTAACAATAGAAGAGTAAACTGAGCGATCCATATCTAAGCTTGATATGAGAGATACCGCTTCGAGGGAATCCATCTCCACCACGATCGGCAAATCACTTCGCTGCAAGGCAAGGGACAAGCCTTCCATACACGCGCACAACTCCGCCTCAAGGGAGTCTCTGCACGAAAACAACACCCTGCATGACGAGAAGTTGATAGCCCCTCGATGATCACGTAAGATCATGCCCGCACCCGCTTGTTCCGACGCAACAAAAGATTCGTCAGTATTCAATTTGCACCACCCCGGCTCCGGTGTAGTCCAACTCCGTTCGTCCTGATCACCAACGCTTCTCCCCCTTCTCACTGTATGCTTCCATGCAATATAAGTTTTGCCTTTGGCTGGGTCAGCCTGTGGATTCTGCTTGATACCAACCAAGGACACCAGATAGCTTTGCAGAAATCTTAGAGAGACTTCCATAGGCGGGGCAGGCTTAGCATGAACTAGCTCGTTCCGGACAAACCAGCTCCTCCAGAAAATCATTAATACCATTGTTCGTTCAAGGTTAGTAAGAGGATCCAGGACGTGTAGCAGTCATTCTTCCTCGTTGTTAAGTATTGATGTGATATCCGGGAGCCTCCACACCTTGGCCATAGCCACAAACAGATCACGCCCAAACTGACAGCGCACGAACGGATGAAAGTTATCCTCCTCTTCTCCTCCACATACCTGACACATACCTGTGGTTTCCAGTCCAATACGGTGTTTCCTCTGCCATGTGGGTAGTGCATCATTCGACAGGCGCCAAGCGAAGTGCTTCACCGTTGGAGGGGCGTCACACTTCCATATGAAGTCCCAGCAAGCACAGCTTCCCAAAGGCGTCGAACTGGACGCCACCGCAGAACTACGATGAGCCTCATCGAAAGCCAATTCGTAAGCTGATTTAACTGTAAAAATACCATGTCTGCCGGGACCCCAAGCGATCACATCTCCCTCCATTCTAGGAGATGCACGAATCTTCATTATTTCATGTACATCCGCAGCCACAAAATATTCCCGAAGGAGCTCAACTTTCCAAGACCATTAGTGTTTAGCAGATCAAAAACAAACCGAATGCGGCAGCGCCCTTGAGGAGAGATCGGCTTATATGAGAAGGGTCTCGGGATCCAGCTATCCCGCCACACCCTTATGCTTGCCCCGTCCCCTACTCTCCATAGCAGCCCATTTTTCAACAGTTCCAGGCCATGGCATATAGCCTGCCAAGATGATGACCCGTTCCCAGCAAAAACTGTGTCTTCCAACTTGCCATCTGGATAATAACGTGCTTTTAAAACCCTAGCACATAGGCTGTCTGGCTTCGTTAAGAGCCTCCACGCCTGCCTAACCAACAGGGCCTAGTTAAACAGCTGGAAATCGCGAAAACCAATACCTCCCCTGTCCTTGGGTTGCAAGAGATGGTCTTCCAGTGCACCTTTCTTTTACCCTTTGCCGATCCCCAATAGAAATTCCGCACCATGCGTGTAAGATCATCACAAACTGAAAACGGTAATTTGAAGACACCCATAATATAAGTTGGGAGTGCTTGCGCTACCGACTTAATCAACACTTCTCTCCCCGGTTGCGCCAAGAGACCACCCTCCATTGTATCAACCGTTTGGTGAGCCGAGTCTGTAGATTCTGAAAACGCCCTTTAGACATCCGCCCATCCGGCGTCGGCAGGCCCAAATATTTCTCATCGAAGTGAAGGCTCGTGATATTAAGTACTGACCTTACTTCCTCCTGAACCGTTACGGGGCAAGCCTCGCCAAAAAGAATGGAGCACTTGTTGGGGTTTAGGCACTGCCCCGTCGCCTTCCCGTACAAATCCAACACCACTTTAACCTCATCTCCTTGTTCTCTAGAAGCCTCAAAAAACAACAAGGTATCATCAGCGAACAATAAGTGTGAGATGCCCGGTCCTCGTCTAGAAACCTGCACCGGCATGATGTCACCCGTAGCCACTTTGCTCTTTAGTAGAGCTGATAAACCATCTGCCACAAGCAAAAAGAGAAACGGAGAGAGCGGATCTCCTTGCCGAATACCACATGTCGGCGCAAACGAATCCAAGAGGGTTCCATTAAGTTTGACAGAGTATCTCACCGACGTGACACACGACATTATCCAGTCCACCCATCGCTGAGAGAAACCCAACTTTTGCATCATTTGCCTCAAGAAGACCCAATCCACTCGATCATATGCTTTTGATAGGTCCAGTTTGTAAGCATAGAAACTTCTTGTGGGATCCTTCTCCTGCTTGATATGATGGATACACTCAAAAGAAACTAGTGCATTATCTGTAATCATCCTTCCTGGAATGAAGGCGCTTTGCTCAGGAGAGATGAGATCATCCAGCAACGGCCTCATCCTATTCATTAAGCACTTGGAGATGACCTTATAGATAACATTACACAGACTAATGGGCATGTAGTCTATGATTTTTACCGGGTTGGGAACTTAGGGAATAAGTACAATAGATGTAGAATTCACTCCCTCCGGCATGACACCAGTGCTGAAAAAAATCCTTCACCGCAGCCAACACACCCTCCTTAAGAGTGTTCCAATTCCTCTTAAAGAATCTAGCGGGGAAACCATCCGGACCCGGAGCTTTTAGTGGCCCGATTTGAAACAAAGCATCCGAGATCTCTTTATCTGTAAAAGGCGCACACAACTTGGTGTTATCCTCCTCGGTCACCACCGGGTTAATTAGTTCCAAAATAGGCGCTGCATTAAGTGTGGGGTCAGCTGTGAAAATGTCATGAAAATAACTGTTAGCCACTTCCCACATAGAGGCAAGATCGGAGTGAACTACACCGACACTATCCGTCAACTCTCGAATCTTGTTCTTCCTCTCCCTCCAGACTGCTTTGCTTTGAAAATATTTTGTGTTTCTATCCCCCCCTTCAACCACGTGATAGGCGATCGTTGTAACCAAAGCGTCTCCTCTTGGTACAAAAGCTCGTTCATCTTGTCCGTCACTTGCGATATCCGGACGATCATCGTTCATATTCATCAACTCCTCTAGCTGAGTGCGGGACTTGGCAAGCTCTCTGGTAATATTACCAAATTTTTTGCTCCAAACCCTGATAGTTGTCATTGTTTTAGATAGAGCGTCCCGCAACTGAGACATATTATGAACTCCCCCCACTGCTTCCTAGGCCTCCTTTATCACCTCAGGCAGTGACTCATCACGCTCCCAAAACACCTCGTATCTCCTCGTATCTCCTCTGCTTTCCACCTAGCGGCCCCAGATCGGCCGAACCCTTTAGGACAAGGGCCACATGATCTGAACAAGGCGAAGGAACATGCACTACCGTAGCATATGCAAACAAGTTCCTCCACGCATTAGTTGCAACTGCCCTGTCCAGCCTTACCTTCACATTACCTCCTCCTCCCCTCTTATTATCATATGTGAAGGGAACACCAACGAAGCCAAGGTCAACTAGGCCATAGATCTCCAACGTATCCCCAAAAGCAATCATTTGTGGCTCTCCACGCGGTGTAGCAGATAGATATTCAAAGTCCCACATGGCCTCGTTGAAGTCGCCGACTACAAGCCAAGGTAGGTCATTTACGACTTTTAGCTACTCGATTTTTGACCACATGATGTGCCTGTTTTCTACTCGTGGTTCACCGTAAATACAAGTGATCCTCCATTGCGCCGCCCCCTCCTGGACACGGACCAGTGCATCAA